AGGCTCTGTTTTGGTCATCTGTTCGCTCAGGTCACTGGTACTTTTGCGTGTCTCCATCTCGCTCCTCCCCCGCTCCCTGCACGCGTCGCCGCCGCTGGTCCTCGTGTATATATATATGTGTGTGCGTGTGTGGGCGTTTTTGGACGGGCGGGTCTAGCGTCTCCCTCCTCTGCCTTCGCATCTCGTAGATCTATGCTTTTTGCGCCGCTGTGTGATCGATAAGTGGAGGCATGTTACTTGCATAACTTGTTTTGGCCTGCGACGAAACGGGCCGACCTGAGAGGGTGGCGTTCACTTCAGAGATGCCTGTGCACCGGCGAGTCTCGTCACCCTGCATCATCTACCTATTTATCGGACCGGTCTATTTGCATTTGTGGGGTTCATACGACGGTTTTTTTATCTCCACTCACGACAATTATTCTCCTATCTGTTGCAAAGTATTGCGGAAGTTGCCTGTCATGCAGTCGTTTGCTCATTTAGAAACCTTGTGCTCCTAGTGATACATATGTGGAAATTATCGCCGCTGGAAAATAAATCCTTTGAGTTTGGGTTGACATTCTCTTTCTGCCTCTGCCTATCAACATGCCCAAAGCAAAAAGGACTTCATTGTAAATTATAGATTTGCAAAGCGGACAAAAGCTCTCTCATACAAGTTTATGAGGATAACCATATCTCCGTTCGGGGTCAGGTCAGGTCAGGTTTATTAAGGGAAATATAGACGAATGCCTTTGAGCTCCCTATTGGTACAGAGTGGCTATGAACTGCATTAGTACAGCAGAACATTTCAAAAGGGTGGCGATGCCAGCAAATGGAACTGAGTAGAAAGATCAGACAGTGAAAAACTCCTTAGGCATTGTTCGGAAATTCTAGAAGTTTGAATACCATTTGAGGAATTTTAAGGAAAAAAACTGTCGCTCGTGGGAGGAAAGCACATACGAGATAGGATGGCCTGCTGCTGAGTGTTTGAAGCAAGTCAGGAGGAGCCCAGAAGGCGGGGTAATTCAGGTGATTGGCTTTGATGGGGTTGTCATGTAACCCAACTTGGTAGTTGGTGGTGGCTAGTTTTTTTGTGGTTACGGAAGAACGGATTCAAATCTATAGCATTGGTTGGTGAAAATAATCCTAACATTGGAGAAACGGACAAACCACTTAACTTACAGTCTTGAACTGCAGAACTCTTCCCGCACCCCCTTGCTCACGTGTTCAGTCACTTTTCGTAAATGTAGTCAGTGGCGTTCTTCTGATGTTCCGTTGGTCGAACTTAAAGTACATATTTGAATCCCGTCTCTTCGTGGTCATGAAGTAGCAGCCATGGGCCAGATTTTATCCAACACTGCCCGTCTTTTTCAACGTCCTTCATCTAGTGCCTTCTCCGGTCGTGACTCATCTCTCCGAGATTGGATCTTAACCCACTGCCAGTTTCTACATTCACGCATTCTGAGCGTGCCTACCACCACCAATTCAACTAATCCCAACACTCTCGCCGCCAAGGCCGGACGCTGTTCCCCCAATCAGAGCAGACGATCTCCTCATATCTGCCTCCCACCCCCTGGTCGACCGACTGACCTCTTTCCCGAGCTGGAATCCATTCGTCAGCAGCTGCTAGCGCCCAATGACTGCCTAGCCTGGGCTACTGGCCTGCGAAGACTTGCAGCGATTCTAACCCCCGGTGTTGGTGGAGGAGGGGTGACAGAGCAGTCAGTTCAGGAGATACCCTCACCGTTTGAAATGCAGCACAGCGGCCTGCTGCGTGGCCTTCTGGAGTACTTGACCTCTTCATCTGACCGGAAATTGCGAATCTACCTGCTCCTGATGGTAAGTACGCGGATTGATGTTGTTCTTGGCCGTCGCATGTGCCTCTGCTGTCCTGCGTATTTACCCTTTGCGTCTTGTTTTTTATAATCTCCTTCACCAGACCTTTGTCGGATCACGGTACACGGACAATTTGCACCTCCGTAACATTAGCGATAATCCAAAGATGCTGACTGCACTCTCGAAACTGTCTGCCCACAGTCCTAGTGAACCCCCCGTGAGCCCGTTTTCGGCGCTGGTCAGTTGTCTACTCGTCTACTTGCACCAACAGGTTAGTCTCCTTTCTGGTAGTTTAGTTTGTGTTTCTTTTCATGTCGCTATCTCCATAGGCAGTCGGTGTTGTCTAAGAACAACATCCAGAAAAAAATATGTCGCCACATAGCCAAAGAAGTGTCTTTTCGCCCCAAATTCGCTAATCAGTCAAATATTATAGAGAAACAGTGCGCCCGCTGAGCACCTGCCTCTTTCACCGTTTCTGGCACACTATCTTGCATCCTTTGACTCTCTATCAAGTCCTACCGCTTACGTCAAATCCCAGTGATAGCGGCCATTAGTGTGATATGGTACTGTTAAACAAGTAGTGAAGGTACAAACATTAACAGTGGATACACTTAGTCAATAACTAGGGAGTCAGCCAGATATAACCTGACTCTAGACAAAGAAATACCGCATGTCCCTTAACGCCATACGTGTGCAGGACAAAGCTAGGCTTGGAACAGGGGGTGGCCACTGGTGAGCATTGCCC